AATAAAGAGTGTGTAAGGTATAGATAAGTTAACTAGTACCAATAGAAGTAAGAATTAGAAATGCATATGTATATGTGTTATCATATATAAGTAATGGAAAAGTTATGTTAGATGCCTCACTCAGAGCAGAGTGGGGACAGTTTTGTATCTTTTGTCTAAAAAAAGATAAGAGACTCCTTTTAAATGAGCTGTTGACCAGTTCTGAGACTACTAAGTCAGGCAGCCGCACCTAGCCTTCGGGTTAAAAAGCAAGGGCTTGATTTGGGAACCTCGTGAACCAACAGACCCCCTTAGTTTATGACTTTGTAAAACAATAAAAGTTTTAAATTGAACATCCAGGTCTGAGCCTGTGCTTAATTCAGTCCTTATATTCGGCACGAACTCACACAAGTTGCACCAAGTCATTCAAGGCCAAGGAGAAAGGTATCTTTCCTGCCATGTCTGTACAACCTCTTAGGCCAAAACCATCATCATACCTGCATCCTGTGTGGTAATCATGGTGTCACCCCCCTGGCCCATTATTTTTAACTCCCCACCCTCCCTATGACGCTTCTATTAGCAAGGAGCAGCTGGTTTGTCACCACACACTGAACTGCTTGCCACTGCGTTGGGGCACTGCAGTCATTCATTGCAGCCTAGAGGGGGTAGCCATGGGCACTGCCATCTTTGGACCTCCCAAAGAACAGGCCCTGATACATGGCAGGTATTTTGCATGTGTGACACACAGTGGGGTGGTGACATTCTGCTTTCCCAGCTGGATGCAGCATGGTGGGAAAATGCACCATGGTGCTAGGATGTTGCATTGTAGCTCAGGCTACTGCAGAGCTTGGCAATGCATCGCTGTAGATGGAGGCACCCCGTGAGTGCTGCAATTAAGCTGGCCTGCAACTAGTACTTCTGTGGTTCAGACCAAATCTTTTGGTTCCTTGGCAGGTGTACACCATTGAAAGCCTGCAAAGGATCTCACAGAGAGTGTGGCTTTTCTGATTAGCAGGGATCTGGGTTTTCTTTTTCCCCATGGAAAAACAGGAAAAAAACTGAAGCTTTTCCCTTTTAATTGGGAAAAACGTGGATTTTTCATTTTAACGGAGAAACCCATGGATTTTCTGTGTTTGCAGAGAGCTCTCTGCAGGCTTGCAGACTTCCAGCCTGCAAGGGGCCGGAGGAGGGTGGTCAGGCAGGGGGTAGCCACATGCATGTGCACACACACACACACATGGCTGCCAGGCAGGCTGGAGAGCAGCTCTTGCAGGTAAGTCTGGCGGGGGGAGGAGGGAAGACTGAGGCACCCATAGGGAGGGATGTGGGGAGTTGGCTAGGGCTGGGACTGGGCCTGTTGCCCACCCCAGGTGGCACGCATGGCTGCAGAGCCCTGGTGGGGAGTGGGACGGGGCCACGGGCGGCGCATCGGGGGGGTGGGGGCTGGCTCCCTGCCGCTGCACGCGCTCCTGGGGGGGAGGGGCCACGTGCTCCCCGGATTGGTGCGTGGGGCAGGGGCAGATGTTGGGTGCAGGCTCAGGCTTCCTATCCTGCTGCCCTCTCCCCAGAGCCTCTGCAGCGCAGCAGGTGGGAACCCAGCACAGGGGGCAGAGCAGGGCCAGGCAGGAAAGCTCCTTGCAACTGCTGGCAGCTCC